GGAACGTGGAAAATGAAGTATAGCCGGGCCTTAAAAGTGCTATATGTAACTTTTTCAATCTACTAAAGCATAAAAATACCATAATATGGTTGCAGATATTTAGTTCACATACTTGTTTCTCTGAAAAACTATTTTACAACCAGTTATTTGACTTTGAAATGTGCGTTTCGTGTTTGAATGTCTGTTTTTGTTTTGTTCACCCAATTTTCGACACTCGGGATGCCAGTTGGCAGGAAACAAAGCGTATTGCAGCCAACTAACAAACTGGGTCAGAGATGGCAGAGTCTACCCAAACAAAAAAGCCTCGGTATCCATCAAAAAATTTCTATGAATGAGAGCATATTAAAATGTGGATGAATCAACTCATGAACATAAGTCCCCTCGGCTTCATTGTCAAGTGGGCTCGTTCCTGTTGCATGTTGTCAAACTGGCAACCCGCGTTAGATGGGCTTGGCGAAAAAACGATCTCCGATATTTTGAATTTGGACTGCAATACCTATTTCAACCACTAGCTGTCATTCGTACAGACTGCACCTTTAAGACCACAAGACCGTGACTTGGGCTGCATCGGAAATTGCATATATACTTCCATGCAATATAGAAGGCAAAAAACAGTGTGTGACAAAGAAAGTATGTCCGAGATTTACAGTACCCATAAAGTACCCGGACAATCTACTACTTCTGATTCGATTCTGAAGTGTGTATATTGGCGCTTTTCCACTGCATGGTACGGTACGGCTCGCTTTAAATGATCCCTGGTCTGTTGAGGTTCCAAGCGTACCGTACCGATACTAAAATGCGACGTAAAAACACTGCAGATCACTGATTCGCACAAGAAGAAAATATCAGATTTTCCATTGCATGAGAACGCACCATACGTCCAGATTACATTCATACTGCACCCATTCAAATACTATAGAACAAACTTTTTTAGTGGTCGTAAAGTAATTACTTGTTCAACGTAACTTCAAGAGAGTATGTGATTTCGGATGCAGCCCGACTGTCCCATTTGTCATTTTAGGTTTTAGAAGGATGCGCATTAAAAAGGTCATATGATATTTTATTCATTACAGAATTTTTATTTTTAATTTACCCGGTCTCTCTTGTAAAAGAGATTCTGAATCTCAATGGGATTTCCTGGTTAAATAAAGGTATAATAAATGTATAATATTAAATATTATAGTTACAGTAATTTCATTTTTAAATTTTCCTTATTAAAAAATGTGACAGTGTCACTTTAAGTCTTTGTATCCACAGCATCTTATACCATATTTTTTTTCCCCGTTTTGACTGCAACTAAAAAAATAAAAATAAAAAAAAGACATTTTAATGAAATAAATAAGCAAAATTTATATAGCTATATATGAAGAGTTCAGATGCAAAAGCCTCTAAATGCCATTTGAAATTTTCTTCTAAAATGATCATGTTTATCAAGCTTGTATAAAAGCATTGCTTTTTAAGTGAAATTACTGAACTTAAATATACAAGCTTGATAAAAATGATCATTTTAGAAGAAAATTTCAAATGGCACTTAGAGGCTTTTGCATCTGAACTCTTCATATATTATGTTTAGTTTAATTTGGAATACTAAAATAACTCAAACTAAAAACTTTATATATTTAAAATAGAAACTAATAAACCTTGCAAACAAAATTACCAAAACTTTAACTAAAAACCAGAAAAAATAGTAAATTATATTGAATAGCTAACTAAAATATTTCAAGCTCCACCATTCAACCCTGTTCTAATTCTTGTCCAAATTTACAAAGATTTTTTTTAATTGATGAGGTTGTTCATTCAAGTGTTTAAGATCACAATATAAATAATTAATATTGAGCCCGAGCCTCATCTGGAGTGTTCTCTTTTTGCACAATACAATGTGGGATATGTCATGATGCTGGTACACAATTGGATTAAGAGGTTTATGGATTATAAAGATCTAAATGGGCTGACAAGGCAGTGATAGTCACCTGGAAAGTGAGTACTATTGGATTAATGGTGGCCCAGACGCTAACCTGTCAGAGAGAATAAAAGCAACAGCCTCTCTGCAGAGGTTCAGCCATGTTTGTCTTTGCTCCTGATATGAGGAATCGTTGTTGCTGACGTGGAGAGAGAACGATTCCTAATTTTGATTCTGCCACTCATTAACCTGGATTTTATACAGGTTTTCTTTATATATTATTTTAGCGACTGCCAGGAAAAACAATAAATCCAAATACCAGAATGATTGATATAGTGTACGAATTGCCAGTCCCGCACTTTCAAAGCAAGCATCTTCTCAAATGATATCAAGGACAGAAGGGAACACTTTGTGACCCTGAACATGAGGAATAGTTTGGGCATTAGACTACCAGCCTAATTGTTTCACCAGCAGAAGGTCAACATTGAGGACAAGCAGTAATTTAAAGGACCCTAAATATTGAAATGCATTTTGAAACATTTTTTTGTAAATGTTATATTCGGTTCTAATGGAGTTCATGGAGATATTCAGATTTATTTGCATGTTTAATATGAATAGAACACTGAGAATAATAGTTTTTATCGTGACTTCTGCATTCTGAATTAATGATCGCTGATGTGTTTTTTTCCAGAATACCCGTCGCAGATGTTTATGGAAATAGGATTAGGTAGGAAACAGTGATCGTTTCCTTGTTGCAGACCCTCTTTAAAAAGGGGCATCTGGTTGTATCATGATGAAATTCATGTTATAATTGTGCAGCTGTGTGGTTTTGCAATACTTCATAATGGCTCTGTTTTGTTCCTTATATAAAAAAAAAATCAGAAAAGCTGTGAACAAAAGTTTTTGTTTTGCTTTAGATAAATCAAATGCTGTTTTGCTTGAATTGGCTTTGATTTTTGTTTAGTTTTGCTTGTTTTTTTTAGAAATCGTTTATGAGAAATCAGAATGATGCAAACAAAAGCATTTTTGTTTGTTTTAATGTGCTTTGCTTTGTTTCTTTTGCTTTGATCAGCCCTGCGTTGCTCTTCATTTTGTTTTTAAAAACTAACCAGAGCTAACTGGCATCAAAATCAGTTATGAGATAATAATAAAAAAATCTCTTGTGGCCTAGTTAGAGTCATATTTGCTCTTTAACAACAGAATCACACACATGTGACAGCCTAATGTCTTATTAAGGTCGTGTTTTTGCATTATAATATTTTTGCATGCTGAATGCACTCTATGTCAGATAAAGATTGCAATGCATCAAACAGTCAAATAAAACCTTCCAGGCAAAACTGTTTGGATATCTTGTAACATGATTCAAAATTAGGTCAATCCTAACAGTGTTTTGCACACTCATTAAATGAACGTTAAAGGCTATTTTTATACGCATGATTGACTATTCTTGAGGCAAACGCTTTGGAGAGACTTGCAAGACTTATGACTATGTAGTTTATTAGTGGTGAATGTTGCTGAATAGACCTGAATGTAGCATCTGCAGCATAAATGTAAGGTCAGCTAAATTCCACCCCCATTCAGCAGCAGTTCATCTTAAGCTGCTGTACAACAGTAAGAAATCTGAGCCAGACGCCACATATACCTCCTACACACAATCAATATAGCAATTATAAGTTGACAGGACCAAATTCAATATACACTAACACAGCATCTTTGTTAACAATCCCCCTGAACTGATTCAGCACCCTGCTTATCCCATGCAGCCAAAGCATCTCTTTCATTGTGGTCTGTCTGGTTTTCGTGAAATAGCGCCCTCAGCTGTCCATACACACCATTGTGAGTCAAATTACCTTTTTGTATTCAAATAATAGTTCGAATTTAATAGTAAATCTTTGAATATTTGTATTATTCTTAATTGTTATTTTAAACTTTGACCTACATTCATCTCTGTTCTAACAAGTGTATTAGGTGAATCCTTTCAGTTCTTTGAATCATTTTGTCCAGTCTACCTATTTCTTATTATAATTACCAGTGTCAGGTTGAGCTTTTTTACTTAAAGGGATAGTTCACCCAAAAATGTTTACTCAATGTTCGGGGATCGACTTATCAACTTATTTTCTATGATGACTCCTACCTGTATACACGAAGTGAACTGTCTTTATAAAGTATCTTCTTATTAAACAGTCTGTACAATTACAAAGTTCACAATGCTTCGTTTTGCATGTATGGACCCTTATTATGTTACTGTGTTAGTGTGGGGCTATTTTGAGCATTGTTGGTGGTATTAAGTACCGATTTCTTTTTACTTATTAAATGCCCCCATTACTAGCATTATACGCTTAACAGTATTTAGAGATAAACCTCTTTACATTCGATTATCATGAAAACAAATCTCAGAGAACGGTTGACTAGGTACTGATGTTTTATTAGACCAAAGGTTCATTTTGCGCCGGAGTTCTCCTTTAAAGAAGTCGTGTGACAAGATTTGGTGTTGGGCTTAAATGAAAGCCTAAAAGGTCCCCTTTCCAACCGTGTCCTTTGGGTTTTCGTTTTCTGGCTCAAACTGCCAGGCCCTGTCGTGGGGAGTGCGTTACTCACTGTAGACGAGATAATGCAGGATAGAATGATTGGAAAACTTTCTCTAATGATTAATCATGACCATCATCCTCTTAATGAAATATCTCAAGCTTATGCGAGTACCCCACAGCTCAAGATTAATTCATCCACGCTGTTACAAAGAGCGTTTTAGAAAATCTTTTTTTCCAACTGCAATTAGATTTTACAATCAGTGCTATATAAGATGATGCAGATGATGGTCATATATATATTCATGGTCATAATGGTTTGAAAAATTGATATTTGAGTACAAGACCTGTTGTTGTTGTGTTTTTATTTTATTTTTATTGTATTTATGTGCTGCTGTGACATAAATTTCCCCCCCTGGGGATTAATAAAGTAAATCAACTCAACTCAACTGGTTTGTCCCAACATTCTTTTTTTTTTTTAAATCACTTGGCTCGGATGTTACTTTTTTTCTTCTTATTTCTTTGCATGATTTAAATTACAATTGATCATCTTTTTGTGATAAATGCAATCTTACCATGTGACCAGCCAGGCTCAGACTCCAAGAGACCACACAGTAGCTGGTTTAGGTTAACCTCTGTGTAAACATCAGGTGGGCAATACTCATCAGTGCCTAGAAAGAGATTTGTCTGATGTCTGAAAACCCATAGCATGTTTTCTCAGTAAAAATATCTAGTGTTATTTAAAGTAAATAATAAAAAAAAAATGCTGCCATAAAAGTGAGATATCATACCAATTTAACTTGTCACAACTTAAGCGCCAAACAACAGGTTTGATTCATAATACATACCACAAAATCTTTCATAAGCAGATTCTTGCAGGAAACCCTCGCACCCGAAGTCAATCAGTCTGTGTTGATCAACAGGTTCTCTAACTTGATTTGCCTATGAAAAAGAGATAACAGGCTGACCAGGCTGGAAGAAATATCATTTGTTAGAAAATGACAATACCTCAAGACCATCCTCTAAGCGTTTCCCCTCATAAACAGAGCCGTATCCTCCCTCACCAAGCATTTTGCCGATTTCAGCCCGGCTCAGAATGTCGTCTGTTAAAAGATTAAAAGAAAAGGAGCATTGGTTTACGTTCTTGAAAAAATCGTAAATAACAAAATAATAATAATCGTTAAATAACGTCGTAAAAAATACTTTTACAAAATGAGTACATATAGAAATACGACTAACTACGTCTGCGGGAAGCTCGAACACAGAAGACCTGACAGCTGGTGAACAAAACACCCTCGACGAGCCGCAGAAATATGCGCATGCCCTTTTTTGCATATTCCGGAGGGAGGGTTGATGCAATTGTGTGTCTTCAATGTTTCCTTTTAAAAAAAAATATATATTATAAATGTGTTAAAAATTGTGGATTTTGATATAATGTATGATGGTTTGAATTTGTAACATAATGTAATTAATAGCACTCGGAAACGTATATAACTGAACATTATGCTAGTAAACAGAAAAAGGTTGCACATTTTTAAATGGTCATTTGATTTACCCTCAGCTTGTCTCCGATGCATCTTGGTCAGAGCTGCCGCTCCGATCACAGAAGGTGAAGAGACGGATGCTTCTCAAAACTATCCGTCCTCTTCTTCTTTTTCATCGGCCTCTCGTTTTCATCACCAACACAAAAATGCTGATGGGTTTCAGCCTCATCGTACAGCGGAGCACTGCGAGAACTTCGTTTTCTCTTCTGGCCAATGATAGAGGATGTCCGCTTGGTTTCATCTGTGTTTAAAGATATATGACATGCCCTGGAATTAAAATCTGATCATGACCTGAATCTAACTTCAACTGATTTTTTTATAAAATGTGTGACGGTGTGGATTTTTAACATATTGTAATGAATGACAATCTTTCTGAAAATGATGTAGACTTTATGACATACAGAAAACTTTTACACATTCTCAACTATTCGTAATATTTACCCTCTGCGTGTCTCTCACTAGTGGCTGCAGTGGTCTGATCCTCCACTCTCTGACCCTGACCTGAGCTGCTGCTCGGATGAAGATGAAGCTGCTCTCCAGAACTACTCTTTCTCTTCTGTCTCTCCTGACTATCACTTCCCTCACTAACAGGCTGCTGATATACAAACATTACACATAAGAGATTTGACCTTGATTTCTCCTGTATCACAATAAACTAATAACATAAACAAATGGACAAAATGGTCTTCCAAATATTAATATACAGGTGAAACTCGAAAAATTTGAATATTGGGCAAAAGTTCATATATTTACGTAATTCAACTTAACAGGTGAAACTAATATATTAAAGAGACTCATTACAAGCAAAGTGAGACATTAATTTGTTATAATTTTGATCATGACATATGTCATGACATAATCATCAAAATTATAACAAATAAAGGCTTGAAATGTCACACTTTGCATGTAATGCGTCTAGTTTCACCTTTGAACAGGTTTAAGTTGAATTACTGAATAAATGATATTTTGCATGATATTATAATTTTTAAATTTTCACCTGCAATCCAAATTCATTTGTAGCTTATAAGATTCAGTACCTTAAACCATTTATGGAAAATGATTTTCCCCAAACCAATCCGCCGGCTTGGGTTTTCCTGCAGGAGGGATCGAATCAGGTGGCAGCATTCTGTGAAGAACGATGGAAGAGAGTCTGATTATTACCTTGAACTTTACACTGTCTTTCTATTAAACTATGCTATATCAAACAAAGCTTTGTGGTTTTTATGTTACTTTTACTTCTTTGTTTCATTTGCTCTATTTTGATTTGATTTAGAATTACAATTGATCATCTTATATTACCGTTTGACAAGCCAGGCTCAGACCAGATGTCATCCTCAATCTTCTCCAGGTCTTCGGATTCTGGAACGCGTCCACACACTAGTTCGAATAAGAGCACTCCCAGAGACCACACAGTAGCTGGTTTAGCGTGGTACGTGCCCTCTGTGAAGAACTCAGGTGGGCAGTAAACCTTAGTGCCTAGAAAGAGATTTGTCTGATGAGTAAGCTTGAAATCTCATAGCATGTTTTATCTAGGTGATGATACCTATGATCACAATTTAGAGTGTTAAAAGTGAGATCAAATCCATGGCCAAACCAGGCATGAGGCTAGTGACAACATATTCGTCTAAATTTAAAATTTTAAACTCTTTTCAAACCTTGATTTATTATACATACCACAGAAGACGTCATAGGCGGACTCTTGCAGAAAAGACCCGCACCCGAAGTCAATCAGTTTGACCTCGAGTGTTTCTGTGTTGATCAAGAGGTTCTCCAACTTGATGTCACTGTGGAAAACTCCACGTCGACAGGACATGTGAGCGGCCATTGCTGCCTGCGCCATGATACGCCGAGCCGTTTCCTCATTGAGGCTGTCTTCGTGATCCTCCAAAAAATCAAACAAATCTTTGCAGTGTGAGGGACGCTCCAAGACCATGATATATTGGTCAGGCTGATCCTGCCAGTCCACCAGCTCAATTATCTCTCGAACTTTGGGGCCCCTATTAACAAGTGTTAACAGGCCGACCTCTAATGGGAGGGGCGTAGGATGACCAGGCTGGAGGAAAGATCATTGTTCGTTAGAGGATTTTTATAATATTTTAGAATTTGTCCAGTTCTGTAAAAAAATTTTCTCACTTACAATGTTGATGAATTCCATGCTCTCTGTCTTTTTGACAAATTTCACGGCCACCTGATCAACAAAACAAAACATTTAGCCCATTACAATTACATTTACAACATGTCAATTGCACCACACCACATAGTGAACATAATATACAATAAAAGGACTTGAAATGGATATGGTGAGACAAATGAATTTGCTAAATTGCTAAATGTAAGAAAATGACAATACCTCAAGGCCATCCTCTAAGCGTTTCCCCTCATAAACAGAGCCGTATCCTCCCTCACCAAGCATTTCACCGATTTCAAACCGGCTCAGAATGTCGTCTGTTAAAAGATTAATGGTTATAGTTGAGATTAAATGTCAAACATGGAAAGCAGTGAGAGTAATATTTGAGATATGGCAGTAACTAAACTCACCCTCAGTTGACACGTCCACTCCATGATCTGATGCTGGACTGTGGTGGACTGAAGCTGGAGGGGTTTGAACCTGCTGATCTACAGGTGAAACGGCTTCAAGACCACTGGAAAGAGGTTCCCGAAGACCATCCCCTTCAGCACAGGCACTGTCCTGTAGAGAATTTTGATCTAAAGCAGGGAATATCAAACAAAAGCATGTTTCAAATAAATAACACTGCATAAGTTACCCATTATGGTGATTCTTTTGTTAAAATAAAATTCCCCCCAATGTATAGAGTTTTTTGAACAACACTTCTTTAACCCTCCTGCTACCCTCAAATCTGATAACACTTTTTACCCTCTGGGGTCAATTTGACCCCAGTAATTTAAACCTCCACAATATGTGTATTTTTTTTTTTTTTACAAAGGTTTGTCTCAGTTAATTTATGTCTTTGTTGACTACTTAAGTAACGTTTTAAGTTGACATCCACCCACCATTCAAATTATAACATGTTATAATGACCTCAATATAACAACCAAAACAAATGTGTGTGAAATTTTAATATTTCTTCTGTTTTATTATACAACTAAAAGGGTCAAATTGACCCCAAGGAACACCGATGCTACAATATTTGTACAGGACTTTGAAAAAATATTAGCAGGTTAATTTTATGTTTACAGAGTTGTCCCCATTAAATTAGGAAAAGTCATTAAATTTTAAGTAAAAAATATGTTTTTACAGACGTTAAACATTGAATGGGGTCAAATCGAGCCCAAGGATAATAGGAGGGTTAAACATTTAAGATGGATTTGTAACGGTCATTTTAATTTAACTTACCCTCAGTACTTCTCTCATTAATCGATGCAGTAACGTTAGTCTGGTCTGAGCTGCCACTCCATTCACGATCATGATGAGATGGTAGCTTCACAAAACTATCCGTCCTCTTCCTCTTTCTCATCGGCATCTCATCTTCTTCCTCAAACGGTTGACGGTTTTCAGCCGCGTCGATGCCGGGTGTGCTCTCATAGTCGTACACCTGAGCGAGGGAACTATGTTTTCTCTTCAGTGCCATGATAACAGTTGTCCACTTGGGTAACTTTATCATATAAACTGCAGAATAAACAATGAGAAGACCGACGGTTTGTGGTTTCACACGGGTGACAGCGTCAAGTTAAAATAACAGAGACAACGGTCAACTTCTCTATGACGTCATAGATCGAATGCTCGAGACCCAAGCTGAATTCTTGTCCTCGCGTGCCTAAGTGATGACGTAGAACAACTCGGAAGCTAGCAGCGCATGGGTTCCCTCGATCGAAAAGCTATGCATTTTCCCCATAGACTTTTACTAAAGCGCAAAAAATAAGATCTGTGTTTAACAAAGAGTTGTGAACCTTACACGTTTTGTCTATCAAGATAATCTTTACAAGTTAATCCAACATTTATTCATTTTGAAGCCTATATAAAGTTTTAAAAAAAACACAAAAAGACAATAAATTTAAAACAAAACAAAACACACAAGCAGGTTATTACTGTGTGTTCTCATGTCATAGATCAAAACGTGAAAATATTTAGAGGCTTTGTTCACCACAGACCTTATTTCAGACGATTTAGTAAAAACCCATTCAAAAATCCCATAGACTTTAGAGCGAAGGAACCAGGAGGGCTAAAATGCTAATTCACAGAGTAATGTTTCAACATAAAACATCTAACTTTATCCTTTCACTTCATAATAAAAAACAATATTTGTAATATTATTTTATAACAATATTTTATATTTAAGGTCAGAATAATTTAGGGTTTGACAGGAGAACAACCATTCAAAAAATGTGTTAAGATGGCATTTCTGGTCAAGTGGAACATTTATTTAAATCCTAGATTATGCATGTATAGTAAATATAATTATATAGGCCTACTTAAGAGCCTATTTTACTCAAAAAAAATAAATTCTAGGGGCACCAATAATTTTGGCTAGAGGCGTTTTGGAGAAAAACCTTTATTGATGAAATAACAGGTTAGATTAAACCTTAAATTAATTAGATTTAACCTAATTGGAGTGGCAAATGTATTAATAGTTCTCCATAACTCTGATTGGTTTTTCCACAAGGAAATCCGGTATCAAATGATTATTATAAAAAATAAGTTGAAATAATGCAATTTGATGGCTTCTGCAGAAATATACTGTCGAACAGCCTCATATATTACAACAGCGATTAACTCAGTAGACCTTTTTTGTCTTTTTCCTTCTTGGGTGAAATATACCTTTCAAGCATGTTTTGATATTTCAAAAGGTCAAAATATATATATATATATATATATTGCTTTATATGATCACTTACTAAGGAAAAGTAGTGAGGAGACTGGGTTTTAATTCTGATTATTTTATTTAATTAAGACACAAGATTCCTATTATTGAAATAAAGAAACAATTAGCCACTTAAGGCTAAAAGTTGTGAAAAGTGTGGTTTTTGATACTGTCGTTTGTATACAGACACAGACAACGGGCATACTGTATAACCTTTATGCAAGCTCAGCAGCCTGTGCCAAGCACTTTGGCAAGACCACAGGAAAACAATCAAAGCTACAAGGCTTTAAAAACCATTTTCTTGACATTAGAATTGGTGATAGGCAAAGAGTAATCGCCATGTGGGTTAAGTGCTTCCAAAACAGCTGTCGAACAGTTTTCTTCCTTTGTCCGCAGTCAATATTTTGCCCCTTCAAAACAAATGATGCCCTCAATCCACACTCATATCTGGTTTGAACAGTCACAACAACAAAATGGTTTATTGCCATTGTGTGTAAACAGACAGCAGGTCAGCCTGACATATTGACCTCTCCCAGGCCAGCAATGTGCTCTTAAACTGCCAATGCTGGTTTTAATAGCAGTCGATGGCTTTATCAATAGGCTGTGCTAATTTGGCTTCAGATTTAGGAGCCGTTCACACAGAACGCCTTTTTCCATTCCACTGCTCATTGTTCCACCAATGTAAGCGTGCGCTAGATGGACGTCTTTAATGAATGACACAGCATTTTAAAAACATGACGCTCAAGTTAAATAAGTTCAGTTTAAAAAACAAAACAAAAAAAAAACGTGTCTAGATATTGCGCTGTTTGGTCGGCGTTCTGTGTGAACCGGCCCTTAGTCATGTGTGGAATGGAGATGAAATGATGCACTATTCAAGCATTTAAAAACAAAACGGCATTATTGCAAACCCTTCACTTACCAAAAATGAGTTTAATCATTTTATAAACTACTTGGTCTATTGATATAAGGTGCAGCATAAAAGGTTGCATTGTTATTTTAGAAAGCCTTTTGTATCGATCATGTAATATTATGTGGGCTGTCAATGGTTGGTCTTATGAGATGGATGAATTAATTTGATTCAATTGATTGCAACCGCACAATACAATATTGTTTGACCTTGGTTCATTTAAAAATTCTGCTTTAAGACAAGACAACCCTTTTCTGACAAACCATGCTTGCCTGTCACTTGTCCCTATACAAAACGGTGAAAATCATAAACACGTAGTTATGTTAGTTTTGTCATGGTAGTGAACAGATACATGCTTTTAGTTTGTTTTTTGTGGACAAAACATTTGGGCATAGACTGATTTAAAATATTTGTATAAAGCCAAGCTTTTAGGTGAATCTCGTGAAATCAGTAAATTTCATATTAGTCCATAAAATCGAAAGAAATAAATTGCTTAAATAAAATGAAGATTGGTTTAAGGTCCATTGTGATATTTCCAGTGTGACATTTTTTTTAGAATTTAGCTTATTTATCTTCAAATTTTCACTACCATGATCAGCCATAAAAGTATGAATACATTGTTTAGTTAGTGCATTTGTTGTAATTATTTTAAATTATGCTTATTTTAATGAAAAGGATGAATTTAATAAAATGATGACCATGACATTTTTTATTTTATTTTATCAATTGTCACAAAGCCAAAATAACTTAATGGTCCTAAATAGTAATATATGCATATTTTAGCCATAATTTTGAGTGTGTGTTGTGAGATTCACCTTTTTAGTTTAGACTAATTATCAGCAGCATGTTAAAATTGTAAAAAATTTAGAAGATTTTGAGAACAAAGTTGTAAAAATTACAAGATGTTATGAGACTTATGATAAGTGTAATGGTAACACATGTTAACTAAGAAATTCTTGCTCTTTTGGCGCAATTTATTCTCGTAACTATACAAATTATTCTTGGAACTATTATGATGTCCCCACAATTTTTTTTGAACAAAATCATATTTTTTTTTCAACATGCCACTTATAATAGACAGAAAATATTCTTCTACATCTCAGACCTGTGATCTGGGCAGTAGTTTGTCTTCCTAAATGATAATATATGTCATTTAGTGACTGTGAGGGTGCGAGTCTGATCCATGAGGGTTGTATGGTCTGTCTAATGGTTTTAACACACAGTATGTCTGACCTAGGGCTGTCAAACGATTAATCGCATCCAAAATAAAAGTTAGTGTTTCCATAATATATGTGGGTGCACTGTGTATAATTATTTCATATAAATACACACACATGCATGTATATTTCAGAAAAAAAAAATTATTTATATATAAAATATTGATATTTATATATATATATATATACATTAAAATATTTCTTAAATATATACACATATATTATGGAAACACAAACTTTTATTTTGGATGCGATTAATCGTTTGACAGCCCTAGTCTGACCTAAACAAATTCTCTGCCAACCTCCCAACATGGAATGTCATGGAATGCAAAGAACGATGAGACGGATCTGAATGTGAATTTTTACCTGAGTTTAAACAGTAAGTGATGCACCCCGAAGCGAGGCCGCAGGCGCACACTGTGCAACAAAGTGTGAAAACAAGAACCTTATTCTGTGTTTTTCTCTTTCTGCAATATCACCAGAAGGTAGGAAACCTGGATAGTCGTCAACCCGTGGAGTACAGCTCATTTCCCATTATGTACAGAACACAGCGATACACGGTTTTAAATTCAAACAAGCTTTTTTTTTTATCTTTATATATATAGATTATCTCATATGTTGATATATTGATAGAGAGAGAGCTTATTCATACTGTGAATGTTGAAAGAGAACACGACACATAATTTAATGTTAAACATACGATCAGTTTCAAATGCATGCCCCCCCCCCTGACACTATTAAGACCTCGCTGAA